AGCCATTGGGAAAGCATCTTGAATAAAAGAGACCAGTTCCTAGTTGTCTCTGAGAAGTGAGAGAGTATGGCAAACTGAATTGGAATGAAGATCCTATTTAGATAACTTGACATTCTCAAGGAGAGGCAGCAGAGGTAGATTTGAGTCTATCATGCTACCCAAAGGTTGAAGACTTTTAAATGGGAAAATAATGTGATTAGATGTACATTCCAGAGATATCACTCTGGCTATAGAAGGAAGGTTTCATTGATGGGAAACAAGAGGAAACACTCAGAGACCAGTTTGGACGCTATTGGAAAATTTCCCATGAAAAATTGTGTTATCTTGGAGTTGGTATCATCCGAGTTGCAGTAGTGGGAAAGGTGAAATATGGACATATTTAAGAGTTATGATTTAGTGCTAGAATGGGAAGGTCAGGAGAGGCACAGGAATGACTTCCTTTGTTATCATTTGAGTAGCAACTGGGTGGATAAGAGCATCAGACAAAAGCAGAATTCAGGGAAGATGATCATAATTTAATTTCTGAAGTCTGAAAAGCATATGAGACATCCAACGAGACACATGGAATAGACAATTAAATATTTCTGCCTATGATTCACAATACAGATGAAGTCTAGAGATAGAAAATTGAGAACTTCATAATATAGCAAGTGCTTCAAAATGTGAACTTGATCCATGAGAAGGGGTCCTGAGTCAGATGAAAAGGATTGTTAGTCACAGGATACAGGATGACATGTTGACTGTTGTCATTAGCAGCAATTTCACAGAAAAACTAGAAAATTGTCTTGTCATTATATCCAATTCAATTTGATATAGATATATAGCTTTCTGGTGATTTAGGTTGGTCCAGAGATAGTGCTGGAAAAAAAAAAAATCTCAGGGTCACTTAGTGAACATTTCATTTCCAGTGGTTCTGGACTGGAGAGGAAAGTACCTACTAATCACAGAGAGTTTGGAAACGAATGGGGACTTTTTATTATCATGATGATTAAAGAGGCATTATCCACATTGAATTATTAGGGGACAAAACACATTTTTACCAAACCCAAGATGAAAATAGGGCCCCTTGAGAGATACCAGAAGCCTCTTGTGCCACATATCTTCCTGTGGCTGGCTGATTATAACCTTTCTACCTGCCTGCCAAGGAAGGCCCCTAGTCCTCTCTTGAGTGCTCTCCTCTTCAGAATTCTGTTCTTTGGTTGAATAACTGCTCTTTCCCTTGTATTCTTGAACCTAGAGGAGATGACGGCTCTCACTCTGTCATCCATTGATAAGTGCCCTGTCCCTCCTGGCTATTCTGCACCTAAATAAGCATGAATAAGTAAACTACTTGAGAAGACATAGTTTGAGTGCATCATTTTTGGGGTGGGGGGTCCTGAGTCTTAACAGCTATTTTTTCCACAAATCATGTGTCTCATCTGCAGTTTCCTGGTGATCTTGTAATTCTACATTTAGTTGTCTGTTAAGTTCTAGGCTACTGAATAGTTTTCGTCCTTTTAATTTTTTTATATTATCCTTTTATGGTGCAAATTTGTCATTTACTTATAATTCAAGCAGCCTGGATAATGCTAGCTTGGTGGATTATTCTCTCCCTTCTGCCTGAAGGTGGTCTCAATAGAACCCAATAGAAATGTATGCAGTTTTCCCTTAGTAAGCAGTTTATTCTGTGTGCGTGTGTATTTATATATATAAATAATATGTGTGTATGTGTACACACACACACACACACACACACACACACACACACACATGCATATGCTAAAGACATTCCTAAAGAAGTACCAGATAAGAATCTGACCTTCTATAACAAAGGGCATGAAAAAATCAATTTGAACCTAGGAAAAAAAAATTAAGGTAGATTTTTCTATTCAACCACATAAGATATAAAATTTTTTTAGAGATAAAATTGAATGAAAGAGGGAAAACTTTGCTTTCTTTGATGACTCAAGATCATCAAAAACCCAGAGTTCATATTTCCCAGCTGGAAATATGGAGACAGTGACTGAGTAACTGCACTGAGACAGACATCCTAACTGCTGCAGCTCTAAAGTCTGCCCCACAATGGATATTCAGAGCCACAGTTTGGAAAGTAAAGCCAGTCGTGTTTGCAAGTACACATAAAAGAATTAATGTAGACCTTACTCCTCAGAAGCAACTCTTTGGACACATTTCTCTCTTTTCTGTTGAACGCAGCACGCGCATGCATACAAACATACACACACACACACACACACACACACACACACACACAAACTCCATTCCTAAAGGCTTTGAGTGAAGGCATCAGACCACTGTTTCAGGAGCCATTGCCTGCTTCTAGGAATATCTGCTTACTAAAGTTCTTTGGGGGGATGAGAAGATTTTCCTTAACTCTGCTATAAATTCTTGTGTCTATTCTGGCATGTTTTTGAATATTTTACAGATCATAACTATGTGTTTAAAAATTGTGTATTTTGATATATATATATATAAATACCTATATTTATACATATTTTTCCCCTTGAGGTTTTACATATATTTTACCTCATTGGATGTGGAAGGGGTGAAGACCAGGAATTGTTTATTTATATTCCTTAAAGTCAAGGAAACTTAGCAACACTTATGGGTCCACATATTCAGTTAATTGAATTGAAGATTCACATAGTGAACCTTTTTTACTTGGATTATTTGGTGTTTCCAAGCATATATTTTTGACATTTAATTTTTATTTTTGTAAGAATTCTTGAATTTCTATCACGATTTAACATTTTCATTTTGAAAATCAAGCACATTTAAATATTATGCTCATCTATAAATACACATGTATGTAATTTTTTGAGACGCAGAACTTTTTAATATGGCATTTTTTTTTCTATTAGTCATTTTTCAAGCATCTTCAATATGTCGAACTCTGTGAGGTTAGGGGAGGTGGCTAGTATCCCTGGATGAATAGTAGATGTCTCCCTATCCCAGAGGACTTGATGATGTGGTAGAGGAGCTGACGCATAGTGACTGTTGAATGTGTGTCTGAATGAGGGTCGGTGTGGCCAGGACGCAGGAACAGGCCAGATGCACCTCTTGTGGCTCATCTTTCTCCTGGTGCAGGCATTCAGATTTACTTTTGCTCAAGTCAGGATAATAGCATTCATTCTTGTTTTGCTACTTGAACAAAATTTGAACTGTATGATGTATCATTGTTGACCAGAGGCAAAAATCAAACATCAGACCTCTAGACCTAATTCATCTTTCTTGACTAAAATTTCTTGACTAAAACTCCTCTTTCAATCTCTCCCTAACACACAGCAACTACCATCTACCCCTTGATTCTATGGGTTTGACTGTCTTTGATACTTCATATAGTGGAATCATACATGATTTGTCTGTGAATGAGGCATTTTTCTTATTCTAATGCTCTCAAAGTAAATCTATGTTCTTGCATATTGTAGAGTTTCCATCTTTTTAAAGGCTGAATAGTATGCCATTGTATATTATGACACATTTTATCTATTTAACTATTGATGGCCATTATGACTAGTGCTTCTGTGAACAAGGAGTGCTGATATCTCTTAGAGATCTTGATTTCAACTGTATTGAGTACATATTTCTAAGGGAAATTTCTATTTTAATTTTCCGAGGAACCTCCAAACTATTTTCTATTAGTGGCTGCATAACTTTGCATTCCCACCAGTAGTGTGCAAGAGTTCCAACTTCCTGTCCAATATTACTGTTGTTTTATTTTTATTAATAGGTATCCTGACTGCTATGGGGAGATATTTCATTGGTTCCTTTTAGTTATGCATGATAGTAGAACCCATTTAGATATAATTATAAAAGCATGGATATATCTTGTTCTAATTCAGTCTCCATTACCTTTCCCTCCCTTCCCCTCTTCCCACACCCCCTACTCCCTTTCCTCTACTGATCTTTCTGCCATTTAACCATAGTTGTGTTTTCTAACTAATGTCTTGTGAATGAACTCATGATGAATGTAGTTTAACTATTAACCTCTTATTGGATATGTGATTTGCATTATTCTCTACCATTTTGTAGTTTGCCTTTTCTCTCTGTTGATTGTTTCCTTTGCTGTGTCAGATATCTGTTTTAGTTTATATAGTCCTATTGGTTTATTTCTGTTTCCATTGTCTGGGCTGCCATGTTTATTGACGTCATATCCATGAAATTGTTGCCACAACCAATGACGCTTTACACCTCTGTGTTTTCCTTTAGATCTTTTTAGTTTCAGGTCTTAAGTCTTTTGCATCGTTAAGCCTTTAATCCATTTCTAGTTGATGGTGTAAGGGTCCACTTTCATTTCTTTGCTCATGGATATCCAGTTTCCTCGATTCCTGTTTAAGAGATTGCACTTTCCCCAGTGTGTATTCCTGGTCTGTCTGTCTTTGAATCAGTATCACAATGTTTAGATTCCTGTAGTTTTGTGCTATATTTGAATTGTAGTTCATCCAGCCTCATTCTTGATTCTCAATATTGATTTGGCAATTCATGATCTTTTATGGCTCCATTTGAATTTTAGATTTTTTTTCTATTTCTATAAAAATGTTATTGGGATTTTGATAGTGATTATAATGAATCTATATATAATTGTAGTTAGTAAGGACATTTTTGGCACATTAAGTCTCTCAGTTTATGAACACATAATTTCAACAATGTTTTATAGTTTATAGTATATACGTATGTAATTTACCATATTAAGTTTATTCCTGGGTGTTTTCTTAATTTTTATGCTATTATAAATGGACTTATCTCCTTGATTTCCTTTTCTAATTGTTTACCGGTAGTGCAGAGAATCACAACTGATCTTTGCATTAATCTCTTTGAGGGTAGGACCATGCCTTATTTGTATTACATATCTTAAATTATAAATAACAATAAGTTATTAATATTTATTAATTTATAGATATTTATTCTGTTTCATTGGTGATAATCTTTGCCATTTTTTCTTCTCTCTCTCTCTGTCTCTCCCCCCCCACTCCCTCCCTCCCTCCCTCTCTCTCTTTCTTTAGGGCTCTACTAGTACAACAGCCTCTCCTCCAGTCTCTACTCCTGTCACAGGACACAAGAGAATGGTCATCCCAAACCAACCTCCTCTTACAGCAACCAAAAAGTCTGCAACGAAGCCACAGCCTGCACCCCAGGCTGGCCCCATCCCTGTGACTCCAATTGGAACACTCAAACCCCAGCCTCAGCCAGTCCCAGCCTCCTACACCACGGCATCGACGCCTTCAAGGCCTACCTTCAATGTGCAAGTGAAGTCAGCCCAGCCTAGCCCTCATTACATGGGTGGCCTTTCATCTGGACAGATTTATGGCCCAGGGTCCCATGGCTATAACACTCAGCCAGTCCCTGCCTCTGGGCAGTGTCCACCTCCTTCAAGCCGGGGAGGCACAGATTATGCATACGTTCCACCTCCAGGACCTCAACCCGAGCCTGGGTATGGCTATGCCCCCAACCAAGGACGCTATTATGAACCCTATTATGGAGGAGGGTCTGCCTATGGGGGCAGAAATGACTCCGATCCTGCCTATGGTCTGCAAGGTCACCCAAATACCTGGAAGCGAGAACAGGGGTACACTCCTCCTGTGATGGGGAACCAGAACCCTGCTGGGATGTATCCAGTCCCTGGTTCCAAGAAGACTTATATCACAGATCCTGTGTCAGTCCCCTCACCACCACTGCAGCCAAAGGTAAGAAATTCATGAACACAGTGATGGGGAAAAGGTGGGCCTCACTTAGTACACCTTTACCAGAAGGCAAAGCTGATGGCCAAAGTGCACAGGCTACTCTGTTGTTTCATTAGCAAATATAATCCCAGGGATGAGAGTGAAGTAGGAAGGAGAGAGATTTTATTTGCAAATATGTCATCAGTGGGGCTACTGTATAGTAGCAGGTACAACTAATTGCTCCTTCTTAAAGGATATCATCTCCCAAAAAGCCACATCAACCATAGTATCTCAGGAAAATCTGTTTTTGCAAAGAGAAAAAATTATCTTCCTGTACATCAAAACATGCCTCTTTGGAGCAGGAATTTCCTCATACAAGTTTTATTTGCTTATATATTAAATAAGCATGCATCATCTTACACTTTAGCAGATAGAGAACATTCCCAGATCTGTAAGTGGGAAGTGTGCAGGGTAGACTTTAGGTGAGCTGCTATTGGGCTGTGCCCATGTGTTGGCTCCACAGTGGCTGCAGGAATAGAACAAGTGGCCAAGGACTCGGGAGATGGCTGAGGCCAAAAGGATTTCAGCAAGGCAGACATCTCAGAGTTTACTCAGAGAAGCTGCAGCACAGCAGGACTGGTCTGTTGCCCCTTGTTTATTCACATGACTGATCCTCCAAGAAAAATCTCACTTTTCACTCTTTAACCCACGAATGCTTAAAAATCCTTTATGAATACTAGTTATCTTCTGCTCCTTGACCTTTTTAGTCAGTGCATTCAATTTCTTCCTCTTTCTACATAAGGCATAATACTCAACATCCCACTGACAACAACTGGGATTTTCTATTAGTACTAAACCAACACCATATTTTTTACTCCCACCATGACAGAGGAACCAATGAGAATTACTGGAAATGGTGAGGCGAAGAAACTGAGCTGGCTTCCAGCCATTATGTTGGAACAGAGCCCTCCTTTCCTTTCAGTTAGAACTGTGAGGTATCAGGAATTTGAAAACCTTCCATTAGCCTATAGCTGAATCTTAACTGGGGGGATGTATTGGATGGAAGGTTGGACTATGTATCTATAGTTCATTCCTTTCTATAATTTTGACAAGATTGTCAATTTCCAGACAGATCCATTCTCATACTCAACCTCATAACAAAAATTTCCTTCAGGGTGTCTACTAAACCATTCTTCTCACATGTAAGTTTCTGCTCTATTAATAGTGTTCTAAGTGAATATCAGGTTCCTTACAGAACTAGAGACCTTCCTAGATGGGGCCTGTGAAGGGCTTGGAGGAATCTGTCAACATCATGCATAACCATTATACAAAGTGGGACAGCCATGATCATTGTCCAGTATCAAGATTCCAAGTTAAAATGTTACATGATTTTAAAGCATTGTCTCTTTATGATGATAAATGTTACTAAATGCGTTTTGCATTTGTTTTTTAAAGCAGGCTTATCTAAAATAGGCAATCTGTACAACTTGCGTTTGTTAACATGACAGTAGCTTTACATTAGTCCCCCCTGCCCCAGAAAGAAACAAGTTTAGATAAGTTAAGATTATTGAACTTTACCTTGCTTTTTTTTTTTTTTGCAACTGCAATAAGTCAAGATTACAATAAAATAAAATAGTAAGTTGTAACAGTGGATAGCAACATTTAAGTTCTAATAGGTAAGCAATTTTGCCTTGGCCAAGACAACCTGACTCAAATGATGATAATCAAAAGGAAAAGAGACAGTCTCTGAGGATGCTGTTATCCCACTTGGGGACCCTTACATTGGAGATAATAAAAGCTTCCCATCTACTTGGAGGGAATCCTTTAATGAGAAATACTGAGCCAATCTTCAAGTGCTCTGTTTACCAGTTACCACATTGAATCCTCAGGCCAGTCCCTGTTCAACATTCAGAAACAACAGAGGAAAAAGAATCAGAGTTCATTGTAAAGCCTCAATCTAAGAGCTTGAGTCCAGCCACATCCTTAACATTGGATCTGTTTCATCATCCCGCTTTGGGTGATGGAATGAATTTTTATTAACTACTCACCAGAAATCATGCAACTTCATTTTGTTTGCTATGTGAGTAAAGTAGTTATTCCAGATGATCTATTACACTATTACAGATTTTGGGAATCGGCGGATTTCATATCACTTGTTAAATTTTTTAAATATTTGTTTTTCAACAGGGTCGTGTTTTCACATCATATTCAATTGAGCATTTTAAAAATGAGAATCAGATTATGTACTTTTCGCTGTGATTATTAAGGGGAGTGGCTAGAGGTTGACATTTAGCCATCTGTCTGTGCTTTGGGAAAGGGAGAAAGGTACTGATACAGCTACAAGAAATATATTCTGTGTGTGTTGTGGGTGCCTGGGCTGATGGAGGAGTGGGCTTTTTCACAGTTGGTTTTGAGGAGAACATTTCTTTGTTCAACTGCACCTGGACACAGTTGACCTTATTTTCTACACATTGACTCTATTTGGCTTAATGATGTAACTACTTGTGTGAGAAATGAGCTCCTAATTCTTATCCTAGTTCTTCCTTGATATTCCACTTTCAATTTGAGGAAAACTTTTAGACCTCTTTATTTGCTTTCAACCTCAGTAAAGTGGAATGTCATCTTCACTAATTAATTAATAATTGCAAAAGGGCTTGGAAATTTCCGAGGGCTAAATAATTGCCAAGTTAGGGCTATTAGCTTTTCCACTGGCTTTTATTTATTTTTAATTTTTTTTTTTTTGGTCACTGATGGAAAAGTTACCTTTATATCTGGAAACAGTGATACTTTATAAAATTGCAAATTTCTGGGGAAGTTGACATTAAACCCACTGAAGAAAAATTAAAAATGATATATTGGAGATAAGCTGCTTTACTGTTCTTACATTGTAGTGCATACAAAAGAAGAGAAAGAAGAAGGGAATGGGAGAGAGAAGAAGGAAGAAAGATAAAATCAGAACCTACAAGGCTTAGGGGACCAGGATTATATCTGTGTTCCCATAATGTGCTGAGCAGTGAATTTGCATGGTGCAGTAGGCCATAATGTGTTTCCTGTACCATCTGAACTGAGTTCCTTGAAAAATGTTGTTATAAGCAAGTCTTTATAAGGGAAAAATGTTGCCTTCTGGCTGGAAATCCTCTTAAAGATACAGTGGAATCTTTTCTCTCTGCTGAGTTAGAAAAGCTAATATATTAACTCTATGCTTCTGTATTATTCACCGGATTTTTGTCCCATGCATTATTTTCACATCTCTGTGAGGTAAGTTATGTAGTTTCTTCAATATTCAGAGAAGGTGGCCTAGGTTAAAAGTGCCAGAGCCAGAACCTATTGACCAGTCATGATTCCAAGCCCACAGTAGCAAAGCACCTTTAGACCCTTTTTCTTATCTTAAAACAGAATCTAGGTCAACCTCAGCTGTGTTACAGGAGCAGATATTTGCCACATAGTACATGAAAGCAGTGTTCTGCTCACACTACAGAAGTTGGTGAATTTATCCCACCTATGGAGGTTATGTTAAATTCTAAAATCATCTATTATTGAAATTTCCTTGAAGACATCCTTCAGGATACTGAGACCTTAAAGGTGCTCAAACCATCTCTCCGTCTAGCATAAAATGTTTCTCCTCAAAAGTGAGAATAGATCATTTCTTTTCATTTAGATTTGAGGTTTGAGGGATATTTAATGGTTCAGAGAAGAGGAACTGTGAGTGTCAGTATTGAAGAGACACCTATATTGGGGAGTGTTGATATAGTACCATTTCAGACATTCCATTAACATCAGGGTGCTTCAATTTCTTATAATGACATGTATATTGGGTGCACTGAAAAGACATTGCTGGCATTTTAAAGAGAACCTTCTTGATAGCATTCCCTGTGCTAAATATTTTGCAATAGGGATGGAGATACACACACACACACACACACACACACACACACACACACGTGTGTGGATATACATATAAATGTACCCACACCCCATGTCAGTTGCCAATATCTGATCATGTGTGAAGATGAGAATGGAAGACATGGCTCAAAGAGGTAGGTGACAATATTTTGTAATTCCTCTTTGGACAGAACTTTTCAGTTAGTGTACCTCCTGAATGTCTGTGAATATTAAACATAGGCAGAAGATTTTATTTCTATTACTGATGAAGATTCAAAAGCTCAGGAATGAGATTATCCACTTAAGGTCACATGTTAAATTCCTGGGAAAGCCACAATTCCAAATCAGGACTTCCAAAGATGGTCCTTATGCTTTTTCCTTTGCAATCCCCTGGATCTTAGTATCTTTGAGTATTTGGGTGGCAGTAGCTCCATATAAGCACCATTGGACGTGGCTCTGGTATGGTCATGACACAAGTAGACATGGAAGTAAGCTTAATGAAGAGATTTAGGTTGGAGGGGAGGATGATTTTTAGATCTGGATCTCCTCTTCACGGTTATACCCATGAGATTAATCCCCAAATTCTTTTAGTTTCCACTATGTCTAAGGTATAATTCTCTTGTCCACTTCCTATTGAATTCAGTTCTCATTTCTCACCCATGCTTTTGGGATGGCTTCTTATCAAGTATCTCTTCCTCTAGCCACTTTTCACCCCCATTTATCTTATACCTACTGTCAGATTAATTAGTTGTATTACTGGTGCTGCCCTTAGCATTAATTGCCCTTTTCAGAAACCTCAAGAAGCTGTCTCCAGTTACATTGACATACAAGGAAGACATTGAAACCCCTACTGGCTTTCCAGTTTTATCTCCCCCTTTGAGCATCTAGGCTTCCAGTTGATAAGTTATGTTTTTTGTTAGTTCTCTCTATAGCTTTGCACACTAAGCTCTTTCTTGGTATGCTTTCACTGTCCTCCCCCAAGTGAAGAAAATATTTGCACATTTAAATGTGACCCATGAAGTCCCAGGTAAAGTGTTAATCTTTCTCATGAAGCCTTCTCGTCTTCTTAAAATCAAGTTGCATATTATTTCTTGTTCTTTTTTTGGAAGTTTTTATACTCTTACTATACTACCATCATTTAA